TCGTTCATCTCATGAATAATTGTAGTTCATCATAGTGAGTAAAGTGAGTTAATAAATTATTAATTTGCAAAATTCCAATTCAAGTATTTCATATCATCCAGAAAAAAATTACTGATTAATAATAATTTTACAATCATTAAAAAAAATGTGATTTTCACTCCCGAGGATATAATTGTCTTTTAGTTTTGCATAATGTAATGCGATGGGAAATAGCACAGTAGAAACTAGAAAGTATAAATAAAAAAAAACAATGTTCGTACCACCGAATTTTTGTAATATTGAACTCAATAAGATAATTCCTTGTATCGTGTACGCCGTAAACTTTACGGTATGAACCTGAAAATATAAACCAGTAAAACGCAATACCATAATAATATAAATATAATATATATTATATTTCATAATAATCAAAATGAGAACCAATGCTTAATGATAATATTTACGAAAATCATAATACAGTCTGATTGATGAATTCGTTCTGTATATAACATACTATGTTATGAGTGTATTGTACATAATATAATATAATATGTAGTTTAGAAGACAAGTAGTGCACTTGGGCTAATAGGATAATTGGATATRATTATTATTCAACGAATTTATATTATATTATACATATTATGCATTTAGCCCTCGAGACACTGTTAAGCCTCAACATAGCTACCTATTTATGTATATTCAAACTTGTAAAATTAACCAATTAAACGTATTCTAGTTGCGTAAAAATAATAACACATAAATCGGTGGAATGCATAATATTATAATATCAATGAAACGTTCGTATACCTACAGAGTGATCGGTCGGTTATTATAATAATAAAAATAATATAGGTAACGTTGTATGACGTTAGAGAAAATAAATAAACTATAATTATTTCCTTAAAATCACCGCGGTCGTCTAGTACTGTATAATATTATGTACCGTTACTTAAACGCACGAATTTTGTATCAGTGCAGAKGCTTTGCGGTTTCAAATGTATACGCAACAACTGCAGGTAATTATATATGTATATAAAATAACATTTTGTTTGTTACACTTTTGTATACTGCAAACCTATCGGTCAASTCTGAGGAGGTTTTCGTACCAACACCATTTTTGTCATTCATCTTTGATCAATTTTGTACAAAATAATTTTACTTGGATTGTTTATAATATACCACATAAACAAAAAAATGTTTTAGGAGGATATCKCGTTTCTTTTAAATATCATYATAAAGAAATGCCGTGGTACTATTAGTATGAGGTACACCGCACCTTTTCTCGATGTTGTACARGCGTCCTTTTTAAACAAAGAAAATCTTACCTCTTGTTTTTTTCCTACACTTCTCAAATCCTATCAAAACGATCGTCAATTCGACACCCGTTATCACTCTTGCCTCTCAGCAATTTGTATATAACAAGCTGGGATGGTTCCCCTAGGTGAAATAACATCTACTGTCTTATTGAACGTTTTTATAGCGAATAAGCCCTGTACTCTTTATTTTTGTCACCGAATGCTAAGACGATAAACCAATTCTCTCAGTTCACGAAAATTCAATCGTTGGGATTCCACATCTAATCATCTTTCTCGTTTTGAAATCTGGTATTAAAACAGGATAATTATAGTCAATAATAATTAACGAAATGGAATCCACTCACATTACTTCTGATCTCGAATACTACATTTTTCCTCGATTTATATTTAATAAAATCTTAATTTAAACTTCACTAAGTACAAAATTCCTAAATGTTTACAGTTCTACAKTAATAAGACATTTAACTGAGTCAACAAATACTAAACGAATATTAAACTAAATTCTTGTATATGCATTCTAAAATATGTTACTAAATTTTCACTTCGGACTAAGTCAAACTTATACGTACCTTACGTGATCCTACTATCAATMTATACTAACAACTCTTCTGACAAGATTRTCTAACTTATTGATAATTTTGACATTTTTAACAGTTATACCGTTGATAATGCATAATAATTTACAAATAATTTACAACATATTACAATARTTTACATCGATAAATATAGAAATTGCTATTAAGTTCTATGCGTACATCACCACAGTTTACTCTCCGATTACTCAAACATCCTATTAAAATTTTTAACCAAATCGATGGTTGATCTAAGTAAATCATTATATCCGCACCCAATAAGTTTAATTATAGAGGACGTAGCCTCTTCTCAATACCCTCAAGTCATCAAGCTAGACAAGCTAGAATTACTCCTAAACTTCATTTATGCGTTTATAACAGAAAAATTGTATAGAAATTCGAACAACAACAAAAATATGTTATAATGCAAAGTTTAATGAGAATCGAGACATCAATAGAAATTGATGCCCGAGTATTAGCGTGTTATAAAGATAATATACATTATGCTGATGTTTTCAAATTCAGCTAATTTTTTTGTTGGAAAACGCGAAACACTCTGGCAGATCAAAATTTAAAATAATAATAACCCCCCGCATCGTTTTGTTGATATCAATTGCACCATGTATAAAAATGAAATTGTAACTCGACGATGCAAGGTTCATATTACAGGCATAACAACAACACCAACTCGAACAATAAAAAAAAAAATAATATTAATGATAACAAACAAGTAGGTACTCAATACTACTCATACGTATAATAATATGATACGCTGTACACTAGTTTTGCCGAAACAAGTATAAAGTATTGCATTATGCACAATTTATAAAATGCAGAAATATGATCTGTTTTAAATCCCATMATAATAATATTATAATAAATGTAGGCACCTATAATATAATATATTATCTATTGTGTTCAGTTTTTTGTGTTTGGTCACTGACACATATATTTTGGTTCGCGTTAACGCATATAAATATAAATGAGCAAATRCATTTCATAAACCAAGATTTTTTAAATAATCATATAACAGTTTGACGATAAAGTAATAATTAAAAAAATTATAATTCTTATTTCAAAAAAAGAAGTATTAATCGATATACACGAAACTCCTAAAAATGGTACCTATAGAAATTCTGAATAACTGAAAATATGTGGTAATTGCATATATGGGAACATAAAAATTTCAAAATTCAAAATCAGAATAAATTCATCATCAAAGGGAAAAATAGTAGTGAGCGTGCTTATTGAAAACATCAGGTAATAATATATTATTACCTATACGCTATACCTACACATTACAACATAATAAATAGGAAACACGAAACTGTCGCTTCGGGTGTATCCGGTGCATTGTAACGTAAATAAGTCGAGTGCAATCACCCTATAATCGAACATATTTCATCGGTCACACGCAAACGTCATTATGCTTTCGGTGACGGAAAAAAATATCAGAATAATGACAATATTATAGACGGTTAGAATTAAAAYTTATAAAAGTTTCATTAAAACAAYTTGATGGTGAGCTGTGTGTGTATAATCGACAGTYGATTTTACCAGCCAATGTATACACAATAATATTATTATTTATTATAGTTATTATTTATTTTTGTTACAACTACGTTTATAGCTGAGTGTGCAACAATGATACGAATATGGTTATAAATCACACTGACGCGTATATTATGTACCCCGACGGGATAATGTGTGATATATTTAAATTTTAAATTTACGCGTCTGTGGCGGCGGCGTCGAMGTGYTTAATGATACGTATAGTAAGTGCAATAATGCAGCAGTTTTATAATAATAATAATAATTTTAGATTGATATCTAAAAACATTATAAGCCTACGTTTTTAAAGTTTTTCTTACATTGATACTTCAGAGAGAAAAAATATCCATTGATAGTAAATACAAAAAATGTTATGGTTGTGCTGTACTATCCGACTATAGTGAGACACACGTATTGTATAATGTGCACTAATAATTATTTTGTATATATTTTATACCAACTTTCAATTTATCATACTATCAATAATAGGTATATATATTTCAGTTTTTGACTATTAAATATTTGCCTTTATTATATATAGCCATGTAGGACAGTATAAACTGCAGTATCGGATAAAGTTTAATAATTACGTTATATATTATTATATATAAATATATTATTGTTATGTAGATACATMTATTTGCTCGAGGGGGTCAAAAGTCCTGTGTATTTAATTCCCACGGAAGGGAATGATAAATGTTCAAGTTCCAAACTATATATTGTCGTCTATACTATTATAAGTATTTCGTCAGGATAACGTGACGATATATTACCTATGAATAATATAATGTATACTATAGGTATATGGTRTAAACCAGAAGTGTTAAATTTTTTCATTCCACGTCTCTTTCGTCTCATTGCAACATTTTGATGGCTCTCAAATTATTAAGTACACATAAATAAAATATAAAATGTTTTGATGTTAAATCATGTATAAAAAATTGAAATCGCGTCTTTTACATTAAGAATAAAATAATATATTAATCGTTATTATTGTTATCATCGTTATTAGCGCCTCTGACAAATACTCTCGACGCACTCMTACCTCTATTATATAAGCAGTTACAGATATATGMAGAAAGAAWAACGTGTTTAATAATAATTACCTATATAGAAGCGCCCCAAGATTTTAACGGTAATTCGGTAACTCTATGTTTACCGTCATGAGGCACGTGGACACTGTCAATTGCTTGAATGGTTAATGCTTAGAGTTCTAATTTTTATACCGAATCAATTTAAGTAAATTTATTATTATGTATTTTAAAATTTTGTTCGTGAAAAAAGTATACGTTATATAATTTTCTAGTATTATAAATAGATTCTTTCTGTATAGGCGGAGTAACTACTTCGAAGGTGTATACTGCATAGCCAACAATAATAATTTTTTGGTTTTAATGCAACTAAAATTCAATGGCAAATGTAATGTAAATTCCCCTTTAAAGTCACCACATAGCCGACCATATCACCGTAACGACATTTCCCAATTTACTTATTTATATATTATATTTATAATACGATATAATATATGACATGCTATAATCCTATACTGTTATATTGATTAGTTTTTTTTCAATTTCTACAGGTTCAAAAACGCTCGGGGGAGATGTTTGCGAGCCGGACGTGATGGCTGAAAACGGCAACTACGGAGGTGGTAAAACACATTTCTGTCAGCTCAACAGCCTGTGGTCCGTGTGGTACGGCCTGCTCGCCACCGTGCTTAATGTCTATTCCGTTTTGTTGGCAACTCGGAGACTATCGGGTAAGACTTTGTGCATACRCAGYATTTCGATATTATACAGCGATGTGACGTCAATGTTGAAAACTCTGGCAATGTCAGTATATAATAACTATTTAATAAAAGTGACGTTTGTAATGCTGGTTAACACCTCAAATGTTGTTGGTAACATCGACGGAGTACGTAAATCTCCGTAATATTGATTGATAAGTTTCATCAATGCTTTCCATAAAATCTATGAATCACAATAGGTATTTTTTTTTAACTAATTAGTATCGATTAACCACTCTTGAAACCTATATCTTACTACTTTTTGATTTTGTTTCTAGTTTTTGATGGCGGAATGAATAGGGTGACATTTATAGTGGCGTACGCAGGATTTTTCAGTGGAGGGGGGGCTTGAAAATAAATAATTACTCAGCTGTTACAGGTTTGACAGGGTAACTCGGGCATCGGATAATAACGATGTTTGGATAGACGAATAGTGTTTCTAACATCAGTTCAACTTGTCATCATAGATTATAGATTTATATGGACTATGGCACGACTAAAAATAGTATCTTTAATCATGACTGCCGACTATGAAATGTATAAAAATATTATCTATGAACCTTATGGGAGTTTAGCCAGTTTAGGACAATATGGTTTGCATTGTTTTCAATAAATAGGTAAACACACGATTTAAGAAACTATATTTAATCGAGGTAAATATAAAAACAAAAAACAATTTTACGGGTGATGGGGGGGGGGCTTCAGCGCGTTAGCCCCCTTCCTGCGGATGCCACTGGGTGACATACAAAAATTAAAATACTGTTTATAAACGGATAACAAAAAAATTTCACACCTGACCATGCAAATAATTAGTATGCTAATTATACATCCCAAATTATATTTGCGAAAATAATCTTTGAAAAYTRTGATTAGGGGTTGAGGGGGTTGGATACTTGTATATTATAATACTAATACTAAAGTATATGTAAATTAAATATTACGCCTATGTTGACTATCAATTTCGATAACGTTATATTATMATGTCTAGGAAATGTCAACATTGCCWGAACGAATAATCAGCTATTGTCAATACTTAATAATGATTAGTAATTACTGAAAATGACTGATTGCCAATATTGATCAAAATATATGTATATAATTAAAAATTAGGTGTATGAATMCATATTTATATTTAAAATAATATTCRATTTGATTCACTAGTTAATCATTATTTTTATAAGTAGACTGGGTACCAATCATTTTTTTCATAATTTACAGTTTTTGAAAATTTGCTTTTAATCTTAATGTACTTAGTATGATTAAATTAGGCATATTAGATATTACAATTTAATAAATTATATTTTATATCATACATTGGTGTACAAGTATGTTTAATACTCAATTAACTTAATATGGAACGTTGGAGTATTTATTCCTGAAATGATACAATTTAAATTATATTACGTTCCTCGAAAACATTCGTCGGAGCTTTAGTGGGGGGGGGCATGCGTTACATCAAGATGCGGCCCTGGATTTACTACAGTGAGTCTTGAATGCAGATTAAAAGGGGTCTACGGGAAAACGTGATTTATTAGTGTATTTCAAACACAGCTGTGTTTTCCTTTGAGATTTTGTAGCAATGGGAAAACTACACAGCTCAGCACAACTATTTGTTTCGATTATCAAAGCGTTGGACGCCAACGAATAACTTACTGTACAAACGTATATAATCCGAAGTAGTATTTGGGTGAGTTTTTATTTTATTCSTCTTGTTATGCTGACGGCAGTAAGTCATATATTGCGATTGATGATGATGCATCCATACAAGCGGTGTGTTATATACTATATACAATATTACAATACATAGGTACATATATAGTTTAATWCAAAATATAATATGTGTGTATTAAATTATATATGTGTAATATATATATAATATGTGTGTGTGTGGGTATACTATTATTTTTATAGGTATAATAATCTGCATTGATAAAATGAGCCGAGTGAAAAATGCAAGAACAAGATGCATAACCTTACGATACCTACACATAATAATATTATATATAATATACTACTATTTGCACGTGGAGAGAGACTGAGATTCTATATTATTTTATAAAAAATACTAGTATATAATGTATGAAWGCAACGAATACAGAATATATGCTATAATATATAAGGCATATTTATATTTTAACCTACAGCAAATACTATTTTATAATGTTTATATTTTTGAAGGAAAATATATTTTTTTTATAGATTAGTACCGGGTATAATTAATATAAAAATATTTAATTTGTAACCTTTTAGTTTAATACTCGATGATAATTGTCAAGTTTTTCGATTTTATATATTATTATTTATAAATACAAATAAAGAAGATATAACTACATATTATAATAACAATTATACCCTGTCATTCCAGAACTAGTTCAAAATGATATATTAATTATTTGCACGAAGAATCGTTCTCTATATAGCAGATGGTAAATAATTGCGTACTTATTCTATAAAGTGAGACATAGGGGTTGATGTTTAGTTATAAGAGGATTAATTAATATAAAAAATTATAATAATAACTAAAGAGAAATCCCAGAAAAAATGTAATGAGAGCTGATGACTTTGCACGTGGATGTGTATTGGGGACTGAAAATAAAATAATATATTATTACACTCGACCGAGTAGAAAAGGGAGGGGGGTTATTTCGAGCTTCTCGAATCTTAAATGCCACGTTCGAAAAAGATTAAGTACCTACTCTAATGGTTGTCAAACAGGACTGCTAAAATGGGTTGTTCCCGATCACTACTAATCGGGTGTGGTGTCAACGGCGGAGGCTGTACGCGTATACAGGGTGTAAAAAGGAAGACTTCACCAATGAAATAACTTTTGCTCTAACAAATATTTTTCTATATAACTTATTGACTCCTGCGTTAGATGTGCTTAATATAACATTTTTATTTTCATTTTCTTATACTGAAAATAAATAATTTTAAATTTGATTTTAACGTCTATTGAAAATTTCAAAATAACTAATTTGTCACTAGTTTAAAAAAAAAAATCGAATTAAAAAAAAATCGAATTAAAAAAAAATCTATCTAATAATAAATCAAGTGTTTTATTTTTTAAAATGTCTAATGTTTTTAGTAAGACTCGATAAATTGAAAAGAAATACATTTTTAAAAATATATTTATATTTTAACAAGTATTTGAAATAAAAATTGTCATAAAATGATTTAAAAATTTTTTATTTTTTGAATTAAAAATGTTATGGACTAGAAAAACATTCTTTACTTGACAAAAATAACGAGATCCCAAAAAATCCAAAAGAAAATAATAAACTATGTGATTTAAATAAATGATTTTAAAATCACAATTTTTCTAAAAACCAGATTTATAAATAAGTTATTTTGAAATTTTCAAAAAGTATTTAACTCAGATTTAATAATTTTTATTTACAGTATTATAAAATAAAAATAAATTAATTGTGTAGTATAAGTAAAGGCCAAGCGTCTGTAATATTATGTAAAACAAAATAATAAATTAAAAAATATTGATTGGTACAAACCTTATTTCATTTAATATGGTTCTTCCTGTTACACCCTGTATAACGATAATGATACGGTCGACATCTGTGAGACTGAGATCGACTGTTCCGGCCTAATCGTGTACTCGTGTTGTGCGGCGGTGGCAGTGTCGCAATGAACATTCGAATCGATCGTGTGAAATCCTGTTGGAGACGTGTCGTCGACATTAGTACATAAGTAAGATATAATGTGTAATTCGAATTTATTTCAAAGGACGCGGTCGCAATGTATACAACCAAAAACGACTATTAATACCACTTCAACACGTATAGAGGTGCGCATAATATGGTAAATCAATATTGGTACAATATTCTATTCTTCTTCTTGTCATTATTATTAGAGGACATGACTAAGTATTGTAGTAAAACTGCTTTGTAGATTGTTTTTGTCGTTTACACGCGAGTTGAGTACAATAGTAATTAATTATTATTGTTCTGAAAACAGCTCACCATACTGCGATAGTGTTGTACGAAATTTTTACAACTATTTTAATAGTTGCTAACAACATTATTATCGGTGTTTGTACATAATAAGAGTAATTTTTTTTAATATTTGAATTTTCCACAAAGCTATCTCTATTATTATAAATAATTAAACGTTTTATTTCTGGAAAATATTAAAACAAAATATATTTTATAAAAGTATCAGTGTATAACTAGTAATTTATTCGTAGTATTTTGTACACTGAATTTTGATATCTTAAATTCAAGCGTGACAAAAACAAATTTAGGAAGGGCAGTGTGGGTGTTTGCAGCACTATGGGCCTGATTGTGTTTATAATAATCACTATAAATATATTTATATAATGTTATGTGATTAATTAATATTTGACCCTCGTTATGACTCGACATTATTTGACATCATTAAAAATTAATTTTTACTACCAGCATTGAACATTGATTTGAGTATACTTGGTTACACACTTAGCGTTAAGTCAAAGTTCCTGAATTGCTGAATTTTTTTTTAACAAATTGTATGTAAACTTACCTAAAATGTGACTGCATCGAAGGTCTTGAACTTTAAAATATATTGAGACCTACCTGTATTTAATGCCGGGGAAATGGAAAATGGTCCCTTATAAAATTATCGACTATGTATTTAAATACCTATTTAAATGCAAATTTGGTCATTTTTATTTTAAATTTGTAAGTACGACATATTATTATGTATTTCAGTATTTGGATTTATGAAAATTGTAACAGTAGAAAAGTATACTAAACAATATAAGAAATCAATTTTATGTCATGAATGTTTTTATTATTTTTTCTTTGGTGTTAAACTTGATTTCTTAGTAAACTACAGAAATTTCACGATATTATAGGAAATAAAATAATATTATAGTTTATGTATTTGATATAATATTCTTTGTATTCAAATCGATCGTTGTAGACCGAGTTAAATTATGCCATTATACGTTTGAGAAAAATGAACGCTAACACTGACTAACT